GCAGGGCGGGACTCGGGAGGAGTTTGCACGGGCTGGGCAGAGTGTGCAGGGAAGAGGACTCGGAGGTTGCACCGGGGCGGAGCGGGAGTGGACTCGGGACAGTGAGGCGGCGCTGGGGTCAGGAGCGCTGCCTGCCGCAGTCATGGAGCCGAGCGCGGTACGAGGGGCGCTGTGTCCGGCGTGCAGTGCAGGCTGGGCTCTGTGGCACCTGCTCCCACCCCTCTGCAGCCTGTGCCGGGGCGGGGCGAGGGCTGGGGCTGGGGCTGTTTGAGAAACTCCTGGGAGCGCCGGTCAGCGGGGGGAGCCGCGTTAGCGCAAAGGAGCGTGGGGTGGGGGCAGTAATGGAGGCTGGGACTGTGAGGGGGATGCTCAGTTTGTGTGTTTGTCTCTTGTCCGGCACCCGCAGGTTCTCAACATTTCCGAAGCCCCAGATCCTCCTCACAGCCTCGCCTCCCGGGGAGCCGCCCACCCCCACCCCCACCCCGTCCGTCCGAACTATGTGGCCATAATATTAACGTGCCCAGGGCCACTTTCTCTGTGTCCCTTCGAGGCTGGAGCATTTGATGCACTAAAACAATGACTGAGCGAAGGCTGCCTCTGATGTCATTTACAATCTGTTTTCGTTTTTTTAGGACCTGGCCTTGCTGATTGCTGTGGTTGTCATTGCCGCGACAGCCGTGCTGTTAGTTTTCAAGGCTAGGAAATCCCAGAGGAAGAGTGATCCCATTACATTACAGGATCCACACACTAAGTATCCATTGCCATTGATAAAGAAAGAGGTGACCAAAGCCATTTGGTTTGTTCAGAATCTTGCCAAACTGCTCTGTGAAGATCACTTAGATTGTGCAGCCTACACTTTCTCAGGGAGGAAACATGGTCTAATGACCAAAACCGGACTGGAGTTAGATCTGTGCTCTTTCCCTGGCTCTGACACTGGTTCACTTGAGCAGTTCAATGAGTCTTTGTTATGTCTGTGTCCGTATCTGCAAAATGAAGACCCATAATGCTAAGTTATCTCACAGGAGTGTTGTGAAGTTTGCATAATTAGAGATGGACTCAAACAGAGATCCCCTCATCTCTGAAATTGGGAGTGGAGGTTTTAAAATTTGAACTTGGATCCAAAGAGTTTCTCTGGTAATAATGGGCTAGCTCAGAACTCTGATATGAACATCCCTGAGCTTTGGGATTTCCAATTGTGAGTGTTGTGGTTTGAAGGCATGTCTATACTTAATGTTTGTAAAATGTTTTGAGGTCCTTGGATAGAAAGTAAAAAAGATTATTTTTTAGTATTAAACAACCCCTTTAAAGTATCTCCATGAGTGTTCCAATACAATTTTATCATCACCCTTGGTAATAAACTTTTTATATGGCATCCGGATCTTGTATCTTCCTTGTTCCTTGAGTTGGGTTTACTTAAGACAGGATTCTCTATCATTAAGTATTTAAAGTATTTGGGGAACATCTCATATTCATAGCTGCTACTGGAAATGTCTTGGAATATTTTTTCTAGATGTTGCATAATTTTGGTTCCTAAAACATAATGCAAAAATTAGTGTTTACTTTAGTTACCCTTCAAAAGAATAAGTAATTGGATTCGTTTCTTTGGATGCACAGTTCTTAATCCAGAGGCATATCTTTCTTTTAATACACTTAGAATTTGCATTGGTGGGAAGTAGGAGTTACACATTTACATTAAGGAAGGCTATGTCTCTACTTCAGGCATGGCAGTTCTGTCATAGATCAGGAAACGTCAGAGGTACAATGAGCATGCATGTTGATTAGAGAAAATCTAAAGATTTTTGTTGTAAGGCTGCAGTTGTCACAATGTCCTTAATCAGGAAAAATTCCCTGCCTGTTGGCTTCGGGGGAGGGGAGAGGACTTGAAGATTTGGCCCTTTATAACCAGGCTTAGAAAAAGATGAACTGTTAGACTTCCCTGTCAATACTGTTTCCGTTTTGCTGCTTGGATTTTGGCTTGCACTGTAATGAACAGTAGTTTCACCAAAGAATATTGTGCTGTTTTCCAAATTCAGAGGGATACTGTTGTTTATTCTCCATCTCTTTGCTTTCCGTCAGGAGATCAGCCACGATACCAAGAAATTCAGGTTTGGGCTTCCGTCGCCGGATCATGTATTAGGGCTACCTATAGGTAAATATTGAAACTCTTTCCTGTGATGATTTTTATTTGTAAATTTAGGATTTTGCCCTGATTTTTTTTTTTTTTTTTTTTTTTTTTTTTAAGCGTAGTGAATTTGGGGCTCAGGAAGGTGAGGTATTAAAAACGCCATCTAGAGGCAGCCATGGTACTGCATTGTTGGACAAGCTCTCTCTATTGTATAATACCATGCTACAAGAACCATAGATTAGTACTGACAAACAGGAAAAGGAACGGAGGCCGTGTGGATACCTATTAGGCTGGGAGCAGCAGCAAAAGCCAAATTACTGTGCTTTCATTTTTTCATAAATCCCAAATATAGGTTGACTCATGTATTAAACCGAGCCCCTTCACAAATATACATGTATAGGAGAAAGTCCTACAACTGTAGGTTATATGTGAAGAGACATGGGTAGAGTCTGCAGCATCTTGTTCTAACCATGGGCCCAGCCACTAGACCAGAGAAAAGGAGATGTGACAGTAGGAATAGTTTGATAAAATTGTATCCCCTCTACTGTCTAAACTGCAACAAAGCAAAAATCTTCTGTCCAGTAGAAATAGTGACTATTATCTATATTCGTTTTTCAATAATAGGGATCTGGAATTGTAGATTTATACATGGTATTGCTTTATTGGCATGAATTGGGAAGAGCCACAATGGGCAAAGTGTTTTTTCAATATCTGGGGTGGCCCTGGAAGAAATGGGTTAGGGTCCGTGTACTGGTAATGTCAAGGTGTGCAAAACAAATGGACAAAATAGCCCACATGACATAGTTCAGCAATTTATTTCATGGTTGTAAAAGGAATTTATGCTATTGCTGTTCTCATAACATATGGTATGTGTGTATTTATGTATGTATTGCATACTCCTGATGGTGTTATGATAACCATGGATTTTGTAAATATACATATTGAAGGATATAGAATATATTCTCAACAATAGCATTTATTTGATTAGACTTAAATGTAGTGAAGAATGTTTCTAGGGTTGTATGACTAGATGAGACATAACTTCTGTATCCCAACAGGATTTGCCTATCGTGGTTAGCTTCTAATGTTTTTATTGGAGTTATTGTATATATTTAATTCCTTATTTCCCACTCCATTCTTTTTGTTTTCTCTTCCCCAGTCCTGAAAGTGATAATTCGATTGTAACTCTTTCTCCCTAGGCCAGCATGTTTACCTCTCTTCCAAAATCAATGGTAATCTTGTCATCCGGGCCTACACTCCAGTTTCCAGTGACGAAGTAAAAGGTTATGTTGACTTAATTATAAAGGTAAATATTAGCTGCCTTAATGTAGACAAATAATTTAATCTAACTGGACATGTTCGCTATCCAAGTGTAGAAGTCAATGCTTGCCTTAGGAAAGAGAGGATTGGATTTCAGTGACATTTAAAGTGATGCTGTCAAACACTGTAGTTTATGCCCAGAATTTGACCTTTCTTAAAATACGGTGATTTGATGGCAAAAGTCCTCCAGGTTAGTATGTATTTTAAAGTGTATTTAGTGAGCCTGGAAGGTGCTGGATATTAGACATTGAGAGTGAAGCCTATTTATCTGTTGAATAGGTACAGCGGGGGACACTGCACATTTCTCCCTACAGCTCCCTACCAATGTCTGTCCTTTGAGAGGGATGTCTTTTTGGTGCCTCATTCTTTAGGGATGAGAGGCTGCCAATTGTGATAGCAGTTTTTATGATGTGACACCTGGCTGTTAGGAATGTGAAACACCAGCTTATTTCACAATGTCCTTTAAATGATATAAATCTCGCTAGTAAATCTGCCATCACAACTCTGAGAGCGAGAAGAAAACAATAGTCACTATTTCGGCACAGTATCCAATAAAATGGAGTCAGGAGCTCTACCCTGCTATTTCTTCAGCAATGATTAACTAAGGACTGTTCTTCCTAAAACTATGCTGCTGCCATTGATAGGGTTTACATGTAAGTAGAAAATAAGTGACAAGGTGCTTGCTAACTTGGACTTGCAGATCTTTGCATACATGGTGCAGTGTCATGAAAGAATGTTGCATTTTCTGATTCAGTGTTAGAATCCTGGAAGATTTTGAGTAGGAGAATTTATAGGGTCCTTTGCTGGAACCTTTCAAGCTAGTGTGGATTGTAGAGTGCACTGTGGTTTGGTCCCTGGACTCCTGAGTTCTTCTAATCCCCATTCTAATGCTGACTTTGTCTGCCTTTGGGCAATCCACTTTCCCCTTCTGTTTTCTCTTTTGTTTCTGGGTTTCGCTCTTGTTCTGATTCCTCGTGTTGTGAGAATTTGTTAGTGGTTTAACATTTGTAAAGTGTTTTGAAGGTGAAAGGCAATATTTAAGGCAATATTCATCGCTGGACTTTATGGTGGAGCCCTTTTGAATGCTGTGACGTAAAAAAGGAGCTCCTGCCATTTTCTGGAGGGAGAGTAGTGATGGAGGTGACTTGAGACTGGTGTTGCAGAGGTATAGGGATATAGATGCAGCGTTTAGAGTCCACATGGACATTCCCATTAGCTACACTGCCTGTTATGGATGGAACAGCAGCAGCTGCATGAAGCAGCATTTTGTTTATTGCACTGTGGTGGTTTCCAGTTACAGTGCAGAAACGAATACTGAGAACAAGAGATTTTCTGGGTCTCATTTCAGGTGTCCAGTGTATTATGCAAGATGTTTTTGAGAACACACTATTGCCATCTGATAGCTAAATGGTGAAACACTAACAATTGTTGTGTTTTTTTCAGGTCTACTACAACAATGTCAATCCCAAATTCCCTGAAGGCGGGAAGATGTCCCAGTACTTAAACAGCATGACTGTTGGGGATACCATTGACTTCAGAGGGCCAAACGGGCTCCTTGTGTACAAGGGGACAGGTACTGTGATGTTAAAATGGAGGGAGGGGGAATCTAGTTATTTTCAAAAGCAATTTAAATCTTGAAGGTTTTCCAGATTGGGACACTGCTTTCTTTTGAAATGAAATGGCAAGAAGGAGCCCCAAAGTTCTCCTCTGGGAGTTCTCTCCCAGTGTTCTTGACTAGCGCCTGTTGTAGTGTGACCATGTGGGGGAATGAGAGCTTTGTACTTGTCTGAGAATGGGATGACTGGGACTGTTCAAACACTTGCCCTCCTGTCAAGGGTAATTAAATCCACTCTTCTCTATTGATACATTCATATTGTTTCGTATCACTGAGAAAAATGTATTTGAAGTAGCTGAGAGTTTTTTAATCTTTGTGCCAGATGCTCAGGCTGCAAATCTTAAAGTGCTCCTCTGGGAAGCACATCCTTCCTGCTCTGTAACTCCCTGGCGGCAAGCCAGCTTGCCCTGTTTTAAAACAGGCTTGTCTTGGATAAGGATCTTTCGGAGTGGGAGGGACTGATGTGTTGAGGGACTCTCACATAAGATAGTTGTAAAAGAGTATAAGGGATTTTGCCCTGATCTTAATTGACTGGGACTGTACACCTAAAATTTCCATATATTTCAGTGGCAGCTCTAGGTGCTTGGCACTTCTCAGGATTAGGCCCTTTATTAGGAATAAAGTACAAATGAGTCTTATTTTTTGGATGGACTCAATGAGCCACATAAGTTACAAATCCACACACTTTTCTGTTGCATTTTGATTGCTATAGACAACAGCAACTCTGCGGCATTGGTTACAAATCTGTTAAATGATTATCAGAGTGTGCATTTGTAAAGTGTTTGTCATAAGGCTTTCTGTTTGACTCTTGGAGATATGTGGCATCTGAATTGAGTTACAAGTTGTGTCTTATTTTTTGATTACCCCAAAGCAGCGGTATCCACTGGTGTACAAAAGAAGTTATGTAGCTTTTTTTGAGCCCTGGATACTAGGGGTCAAGGTCACATGGCCTTTAGGTCAGTGCCAAGGGTTTAATTGGATTCTTGTTAGCTATATAGGTATCTAGAGATGAATAAATTACTATAATAAAAAGGGCCTGATCTGAGTGTGCAGAACACTCATATATTTAATTGCTGTATTCGTTGCAGGGTCTCATGGCTCAAAGCTCTTGATCTGTTAATGTTTTAGTGCAAGTCTGTTGAACACTAACGTTATAAAAGGCCAGATCCTCAGCTTTGCTCCCATGATGCAAAGGGATCATAAAGATGACTTAATTAGCCTCCTGAGGATTTCCTCAGGGGAAATCCCTGGGTGACAGTTGCTGCTATTCCCAGCTCTCAGTGTAGGGCGTGTGGCCACTGTGCTCCAGCAATCCACAGCTGCAGGGTGACCTTTTGGTGCATCTAGGTGCAGTTGTTCAGAGGAGCCTCAAGGCTATTCTAAATTATGCTTGTGGCTAAACTAGTCCTTGTCCAGCAGTGAGATTGGAGACTACAAAGGGGGCATAAAGCTACTTTTACCATTTCCACCTTGGCCTGAGCTGAGCACAGCTTGGCCGGATCTGAAGATCTGTCCCCGTGTGTCAGGTTGCCAACTCCAACAATTGGACTTCCACAGCAGTTGTATCTGTTAAGAACATAAGGACAAAAACAGCCATACTGGGTCAGACCAAAAGTCCATCTAGCCCAGTATCCTTTCTTCTGCCAGTGGCCAATGCTAGGTACTTCAGAGGGACTGAATAGAGCAGGCAATCAGAGTGATCCATCCCCATGTTGTCCACTCGCAGCTTCTGGCAGTCAAAGGCTAGGGACACCCAGAGCATGGAGTTGCATCCCTGACAATCGTTGCTAATAGCCAGTGGTGGACCTATTCTCCATGAACTCACCTTATTCTTTTTTGAGCTCCATTATAGTTTTGGTCTTCACCTTTGCCTATCCCCTGGCAATGAGTTCCACAGGTTGACTGTGTGTTGAGTGAAGAAGTACTTCCTTATGTTTGTTTTAAACCTGCTGCCTATTAATTTCATTGGGTGACCCCTGGTTCCTGTGTCACGTGAAGGAATAAATAATACTTCCTTATTCTCTTTCTCCATATCGTTCATCATATCCCCCCTTAGTTGTCTCCTTTCCAAGCTTAAAAGTCCCAGTCTTTTTAATCTATCCTCATATGGAAGCTGTCATATACCCTTAATCATTTTTGTTGCCTTTCTCTATACCTTTTCCAATTCTATTTTTTTTTTTTTTTTTTTTTGAGATGGGGTGACCAGAACTGCAAGCAGGATTCAAGGTGTGGGCATACCATGGATTTATATAGTGGTATTATATGTTCTGTCTTATCTGTCCCTTTCCTAATGGTTCCTAACATTGTTCACTTTTTTCACTGCTGTTGCACATTGAGCATTTTCAGAGAACTATCCACAATAGCAACAGCTAATTTAGATCCCATCATTTTGTATGTAGAGTTGGGATTATGTTTTCCCATGTGCATTACTTTTCATTTATCAACATTGAATTTCATCTGCCATTTTGTTGCCCAGTCACCCAGTTTTGTGAGATCCCTTTTTAACTTTTTGCAGTCTGCTTTAGACTTAACTATCTTGAGTAATTTTGTATTATCAGCAAATTTTGCCACCTTGCTGTTTACTCCTTTGTCCAAATCATTTATGAATATGTTGAATAGGACTGCTCCCTGAATGTATCCCTGGGCGACACCACTATTTACCTCTCTCCATTCTGAAAACTAACCATTTATTCCCCCTTTGTTTTCTGTCTTTTGTCTTTCTTTTATCCCATGACTGCTTACTTTGCTTAAGAGCCTTTGGTGCACATTTTCTGAAAGTCTAAGTACACTATATCCACTGGATCAACCTTGTTCTCATGTTTGTTGATCCTCTCAAAGAATTTTGATAGACTTGTGAGGCATGATTTCCCTTTACAAAAGTTGTGTTGACTCTTCCCCAACAAACTGTGTTCATCTGTGTTTCTGATAATTCTGTTCTTTGCTATAGTTTCAATCAATTTGCCAGGTACTGAACTTAGGCTTACTGGCCTGTAATTGTCATGATTGCCTCCAGAGCCTTTTTAAAAAATTGGTGTCACATTAGCTATCCACGAGTCATTTGGTACAGAAACTGATTTAAGTGATCGGGTACATACCACAGTTAGTAGTTCCGCAGTTTCATATTTGAGTTCCCGTAGAACTCTTGGTTGAATGCCATCTGGGGTCCTGGTGACTTATTACTGTTTAATTTATAAGTTTGTTCTATTGTACTTTATTTATTCAATTACCTGTAAGTTTTGAATTTTTCTTCCAGGTAACTTTGCTATCAAGCCTGACAAGAAGTCTGAAGCACACAGAAAGTTTGTAAAGCATCTTGGGATGATAGCTGGAGGAACAGGTGAAATTGTTGTGCTGAGGGTAGGACCTTGTGAGAGAGCAAATAGAGGTTTAGAGGGTTGTGATGATTATTGAGACATTTTCTGTTTAATTTATTTTGTGACTAAAGGTTCTCTCTCCATTATCAATTGAATCTGTTGCCTAACAGTGCTTTCTTTGATACGTGGATGTAATATTTTAACATTCCATTTGATTAAAATTAACATATTATTTTAAAGTGTTCATCTATGTATTTATGTACTGAACATTGTGGATTTCCTCTTTATACTAAGATATTCAGGGCAGGGACTGTTTTCTCCTGTTTTTACAGTCCCTGGACAATAGGCTCCTGATTCTGGTAGCAGATGTGGGGTATTGCCACAGTATTAATAATCATAACAATACAGAGAAAGAGAGACCTGGTCTGAGCTCACATGAGTTCTGTCCTGGTTCTTAAACTAATTTATCATGTGATCTTGGGCAAGTCACTTAACCTCTCCGAGTCTGACTCAGCCTCTGTACAATGAGGTTATAATATTTACTTTATCTATCCTACCAGAGTGTTTATTATTTAATGTTAGTAAAGCACTAGGTAAAGTGTTACTTTGTGGCTTTTTTGAGTAAAAAGAAGAAACTTTACACCTGACATGGATCAGAAATTGGGATATTATGGGCCTGATCTTGTGGCTTCATGCAGACAAAACTTCCACGGAAGTCAGCTTGCCATACTGCCTGATAATGCAGCCTTCGTGTGAGCTAAAAGGAAAAGCTCATCTATAATTGTCTTTTGTTTTGAATAGGAATAACACCGATGTTGCAGCTGATCCGTCACATCACAAAGGATCCTAATGATAATACAAAGTGTTACCTCCTTTTTGCTAATCAGGTAAATATATTGTGTCACTTGTTTGCCCTCTTTTTTACCCCAGGGACATTATTAGGAGGACTTTGAACTGGTGATACTGTTGTGATATTTAATTCTGAAAAATTACTTCCCTGAATCACAAGATTTTTTTCTTGATCTGTATTATGCATATGTGCCACACAGTTACGTTAAAGCATGTGGTCCTAGTCCATATATTTCACATGCAGAACTCCCTTTGATTATCAAGGCTGCTATGTGATTTGCCATGGTTTATTTAAAAACGATCTATATAAGAGACATTACGGTTTATTGCATCTGCTCTCATACACTGTCCTGAGTTCGGTTTCTTTTGTTCTTAAACCAACAAAAAGGGAAAAAAATCTCTAAGAAATCATACTAGTACAATGTACAAAGAGTTTGTGCATGTAAAACTGCCAGAAGCCCCGAACTCCTGAACTGAAGTTTGTGGGTGAAATCCTGGCTCCATTGATTTCAGGGATGTCAGGATTTCACTCCCTGTTCTTAACTCTCACTGTTACACCTAGGCACTGCCATGTTTGTAATATGCAAAAAAACCCACTGGTGGGGAGACCAAGACTAATCTGTGCAAATGGATTAAAGAGTTTTAATCTTGATTCTGAATTTCCTGGCATTTGGCTGTTTAACTATTTAACACTAGTATCAGCTAGGTTGCTGTTTGAATCTGATTTGTTTTTACTATTAATCTGGATTTACAGTGAAGAAAATTATAAACTACCATATGCTTAAGAAAAATTCAGTTTGTCTACTGACTTGATAAATGAGGAAAACTCTGATTCCTTCCTGCTGAAAATAAAGTAAGTGCCATGTTAGTCCATGTTACTGTGTGCACTGATATGGTCTGGTGACAAACAATTCCCCCCCCCCCCCTTTTTTTTTAAACAGACTGAAAAAGACATATTACTGAGAGCAGAGCTAGAAGAGGTAGCCAAGAATCACCCTGATCAATTTAAAGTGCGGTATACATTGGACAGACCTCCTCACGGTAAGTTACTGGTGTTTGATTTTCTTCTGCCCTCTTTTCTGTATCCACAAGTTTTTCTTCCTACTAATATTGCTACAATATCCAGCCATCCATTCCTATGGTATCTGAGCACTCCTAGCAAACTTACTAGTATCTGACAACCTTACCAAAGCAGGGAGCTGTTCTGTAAACCTTAGAAAACAGGAACTAATAATTAACTTCCATTGAATGGTGCAACCATTACCTGCGGAGCTTTGGATAGTGAAATGAAATGTTTGTCATTGTACTAGTAGGGTAAAGTGTCACTTTCTTGGACTTCTCAGCAAAATACACAACTCTGCTGCTTTGTCTAGTCTATGTCCCTCCCTCCTCATTTCGTCAGCAGAATCATGTTACTTTGGCATCGTCTCTGCTTAGTACTTGCTATGGGCACAACAGGCAAATGTACAAGTGCCGCTTACAGTAGGTCAGTTTTAAATAGGGTGCAGTTGCACAACACAAAGACAAAGAATGAGTTGTGGATTTCTATGTAGTACTGTATTGGGAGGGAAAACAAAAAGCTAGAGCTTGAACTCTACTGTATCTAGCTCACAAAACAGTGAGCCAACTTAATGGCTGGTGTAAGAGATCACAACATGTTGATTTTAAATATTTGACTTCAATGCAGTCAGACCTAGGCTATGTCTACACTTAAAGCAGCATGGGTAGATGGTGAAGCACTGCTTAAGCGAGTAAAGACATGCCAGAACCTTAGGGTATATACCCTACATGGCTTTCTACATGCCCAAGCAGTGCCTCTCATGTCAGTGTCCCACTGCCGCAGCTTTTCCCCAGGGCAGGGGAGAGGCAGCAGGGAGAGCGGCAGCTTCTCACTGGTGGAGCCTTTCCCCGCTGCTTCCCTTCTGCTAGAGCCTTTCACTGCCGTGAGTAGGTACATAGATTCTTAGATTCTAGGACTGGAAGGGACCTCGAGAGGTCATCGAGTCCAGTCCCCAAGCATGCTGCAGTGCGAAGCAGCCTGCTTTTCACTGCAGCTTATTGTGTACCCTACTTGCTGCTGCTAGACAAGGCTGTACTTAACAACAGTGGTGGATGTAGTCCAGGGTTTTGATCCTACCCTTGTCAAGTGCCTGCTTACAGTAATGTGGTATTAATGCTGATTCTACAGGGATATTTGTCAGTGTGTGTGGTTGGTGTCATGTTGAGGGACAGGATGGGGACCTTTAGTGTGAATATATGTTTGAATTGTTGTAAGGTACTAATGGTATTCCTTGTTTGTTTCAGATTGGAAGTATAGCTCTGGCTTCATTACTGCAGATATGATTAAAGCATACCTCCCTCCCCCAGGCAGAGAGACTCTTATTCTGATGTGTGGGCCTCCACCTATGATTCAGTTTGCGTGTCAGCCCAATCTGGAAAAACTTGGTTATCCCAAAGATAACACATTCGCTTATTGACACTGATGCAATGCAGTGCGTCTCATTCACATGCAGAAATAATCCATTTGCTACAGCACTTTTAGAACAATGTAAGTTGATTGCAATTTTCATAGTCATAATTAAGGGTTTTATTGAACAGCTGAGTAATTTTGTTCTGTCTCTGTTACCTTGAATGTTTTTAATACTGAGAGCTTGAGTAATAGTCTTTAAATATCTTCTATTAAGCAATAAGACATGGAGATGCATAACTATAATATGGAGAGGGTGTTAATATACAAAGTTAAAGGCCACATGATTCTAGCTACCCAACATTAAGTTGCCCTGAAATGTTCTGCCTTTTTTGCTATAATGAGATAAAATTTGTATCCAACAATACGGGGGGAAATCAGTTTATTTTATTAATTATATACTTGGGTATAGCACTGACATTCAGTAGCCTACAACTGTCTTAAATTCTGAACCTATTTCCTAACTTACGCAAGGTTTGTGTGACAAGACTGTACATGTAATCCATTCATTACAATGTGAATAAATTAATTTCTTTCCTGTATGAAAGAGGGGATAAAGAATACAGTAACTCCTCACTTAACATTGTAGTTATGTTCCTGAAAAATGCAACTTTAAGTGAAACGTTAAACAAATCCAATTTTCCCATAAGATTTAATGTAAATGCGGGGGGTTAGATTCTAAGGAAATTTTTTTGGGGCAGACAAAAGGCATTATATACTGTACAATACTGTACAGTATACTGTGGTTGGAAGGTGCCCCGGCTTACCCCACACAGGCACAGCCCTCTGCAGACAATGAGGCAGGCAAGGATGCTCAGAAGCACCTTGCGCAGCGGCAGCTTCCCCCCAGAAGAACAGGCGCCGACTTTGCCGGGGGATGCTCCAGGCCTGCCTCTTCCCATCCCCGCTCCACTCCACCTCCTCCCCGGAGCATGCCACGTCCCCACGCCTCCCCCTCCCTCCCAGCACTTCCCTGCTGCCAAACAGCTGTTTGGCGGTGCTTAGGACTTTCTTGGAGGGAGGGGGAGAAGTGGAGACACGGCCCTTCTCCACTCCCTCCCAGAAAGTCCTAAGTAGGAAGCGCTGGGAGGGAGGGAGAGGAGGCGGAGAAGAGGAACTTGTGCTATGCTCCCTTGTAAATTCGCTGCTCTTCCACAGAATCCTACAAGCAGTGGACAGAGCAGGCAGCCAAATGACATTATAAAGAAGCATTGCACAACGTTAAACGAGCATGTTCCCTAATGGAGCAGCGACAAAACTTCGAAACAACATTAAGCGGGAGGACGTTAAGTGAGGAGTTACTGTATTTCTTAGGAGTGTGCTGCCATAAAACAGCAAAGTAGATTAAGAAATCTGGTCTGGGAAGAAATTGCAGTACTCAGGGACAGTGAAAGTGCATGAAGAAATTCTCATGACTGCTCATACTGTTTTGTTAAAATTTCACTCTAAAATGAAAATTTTATCTAAAATTTAATTTAGGGGATTCAATGTTAACCTTCATGCTGAGTCATTGAATGTTATTTAGGTATATATACTCTATCATAAGCTGACCCCCCCCCAAGATAGATAAGTAAAAATGGAAAAATTTTATGACCCATTCATAAGCTGACGCTATAATTCAGAGGTTGGCAAACTTTGGCTCCCGGGCCATCAGAATATGCTGCCGGTAGACCGAGACGGTTTGTTTAACTCGAGCGTCCGCAGGCACGGAGGTAAACCTAAGTAAACAAAGTGTCCCGGCATGCCAGCTGCTTACCCTGATGGGCCAGGACAGCAACTGGTGGGGAAATTTTTTAGGGGGGAGAAGCTGGGGGTCAGGGGAGTAACCCCTGTGACTAACCCCCACATGACCCCTCCCCATCCCGGGGCACCCCTCCCCCCCCATCCATCCCCATCCCCATCCCACCTTAGCTGGAGTGGGCCAGGGAGGATGTCTCTGGCCTGGCTGTAGCGTGCTCCAGCAGGCGGGGCCGGGTGGCGCGGCCGCAGCCTGCCAGCCCTGGAGCTTCAGCTGCTTCGGAGGCTGGGGGGAGAGCAGCATGGCCAGAAGTGGAGAGATTCTAGCCCCGCCTCTTCCCTTCTGGCTCTCCTGGCTGTGCTGGCTCTCCTTGCTCCCTCTGTTGGGGGGGAGGGGCTGTGTCCCCACCTCTCCCTCTCTACACCTGTTCATAAGCCAACCCCCTTCTCTGATGCTTCCCTTTTTTACTAAAAAAATTCAGCTTATGAACGAGTGTATACGGTATTTGTTTGCCAGTACTTAGATTTCTGCTCTACAAAGAGGAATTGATTGACAGTCACTGAAAACTGCATTACTGCCTTACGTTGGACTGAACTTCAATATAAGCATCTACTGTTGTTATATGTACTGTCACGGACTCAGACCAGACGGGATATAAGAGAGTAGTGGAAGGCAGGTATCTCAGCCTCAAAATGAGCAGGTCTCTGTTCCCTGGATAGCCAAACAAAGGCTACTCTAGGCCAAGCAGGACACCTGATGCCAGTTCAACCAGTTAAGGTTGTTAAGCTAATGCCAGCACCTGATCTCAATTAACTGGCAAAGGGTCAGTTAAGGCCATTAGGCTAATGGAGACAGCTGGAACCAATACTCATACTGCTTTAAAAGCTCTCCTTTCCAGTTCTCTTGGGAGAAGCCCAGGTGAAAGGAGCTGGGGGAGAGGAATTGCTGAATCCTGAAGTAAGGGTGAAGCTAGGAAAAGAGGACCACGGGGAAGTGGCCCCGGGAATCAAAGCAGTGTCAGTGGTGAAGGGAAAGCTGCCAACAGCTGCTACCATTAGGGTCCCTGGCTGGAACCCAGAGTAGAGGGCAGGCCTGGGTTCCCTCCCTTCCCCCCCATGCTCTACAGAGATCCCCTTGAGAGGGGAAGCAGACTTTGGTCCAGGCAGGAGGCCAAACTGCGCCTACTGAGCTCTAAGGAGCAACAGAGACTGTGGCTATTCCACCTCCCATACTGGCCTATGATGAAAGAAGCTCAATAAGCTGTGACCTTTGTCCCTGTACTGAGAGAGAAAGGGAGGTCACATTGAGGGCCTTAGCGAGCTTCTGAGGCCACTGAATCCGCCTGGAAGCGCAGGCCCCACCAATCCAGGCTTGGAGCATTGTTACAGTACTTCTGAAATACTGTTCTCTCCATGAAGTACATGTGCTGTGAGCAGTTTCAGAAGTTTGCCTCCCCCAAAAGAAAATGTTTTCACCCCTCAGCTCACAGAGAGCCCTGGTACTTCCACACACAAGATACATGACTCATTCTGTGGACCCTTAATCTTCATTGTTTTTACTATATATCTCTTCACAAACACTTTTCAGTTTGTGACTGTGCATTCACCATCTCAGGGCTGGTTTGTACGGTCTTGTGCCTTAAGCTTGGAAAGTGTGGGGCAGGGATCCTGTTTTTAATCTGTCTGACTGAAAAAACATTAAGTGCTACTGGGTAAATGCAATTTTCATCAGATGTTTGAGACCAATAAAATTTGCTCTTTATTACTTCACTGATTAAGTCTACTCAGTCCACTATCCCAATAACAGTCATAGCAAACAGAGATCAAAATGCTTCAGGCTTGTAGGCCAGCCATCTTAAAAGTTGCGATGATCCCAGTGCCACTGAGGACTAAGCCCTTTTAATACCATTTCATTTTGGAGAGTCATAATCAGGGCCTTTTGTAAAGTTTTCTTCGCTTATGTTTTTGCCAAATTATTTTCAAGAATGTGTGTTGTTATGGATTCCAGACAGCCTGGGCCACTGCTCCTTCGCTGTTATCTGGGCCAGTTGTTTTCAACCAGGGGTATGCATACCGCTGGGGGTACACAGAGGTCTTCCAACGGGTACATCAACTCATCTAAATATTTTAGTTCAGGCTACGTGAAAAGCACTAGCAAAGTCAGTACAAACTGAAATTTCAGAGTCAATGACTTGTTGATACTGCTCTATATACTATACCCTGAAGGTGTAAGTACAATATTTATATTCCAACTTATTTATTTTATAATTGTTTCAGTAATAGCATGCTATGCCACTTTTATGTCTGTAAGTAGTAGTTTTTAAATGAGGTGACACTTGGGGGAACATAAGACAAATTGGACTCCCAAAAGGGGTACAGTAGTCTGGAAAGGTTGAGAGCCACTGGGTTAGGCTGTGCAGCTCAGAATCATCATCTTCCCTGGGAAGTGGCAAACATATAGCTGGCTTTAACTGGCGCACTGTTCACCAGCCTGCACTATGGCTTCCCTCATTCCCTGGCTGCAAGCTGGACTGCAGAGATGAAATCCTGGCCCCATTGATGTCCATGGCAAAACTTCAATAGACTTTTCTGAGGCTAGGATTTTGTCCTAGAGGAGATTTACTTGCAAAGAGAAGCTCTTGGTGTGTCTTCTCTTAAGTCTCTTTTGAACCTGTCAATTTCCCCCTCTTGTCCATTCTACATCTGTTTATTTTTAGAAAAAAACACTTATTTCTTCTTAAACACTGCATATTTACTCATTGTGATACAATAATTTTAAAATGTTAAGTAATTGCTAAGTATTATCATTTAGCTTTATAACACTTAAAGGTTATAAACTTCACCCTCAAAATGAGTGAGAATCCTTTATGAAATGCAAAAGAATTGCCTAAATATATTTTTACACTTATGTATGACGCTTAGCTGTTATGGAGCATTTTTCCAGCCATAGACTTTTTCTCAAAGTGAGTATGCTCATTGAATAGATACAATAGAATAGAAACAAACACTCAGAGGTTAATAGAAATACCCAAGCATTCAGCAAGTCACTGGCAGAAATGGGAATAGAACCCAGGTATTCTGACTTCATCAGTATTCTATCCACATTGCCTCTGTGGGTGGAGATGTATTTTATGTAAAATCCCTACCCAGTACTCTGGGCATGGTATAAGTACCCGGTACTTCAAGACAGGGTAGTCTCATTAACTGTTGAGCAAATGGGGGTGAATGAATAAACTTTAAAATTCCCCGAAGACCAGCTGCCCAGGCATATCTAAAACGTACTACACAGAGTCAACCTGGAATATAGACAAACATACAGCATTTATTCATTACGGTCTGATGCCCCAAAGATCAGCGTTTGTATATCAAATAAGATACTCTAGTATTCAAATATAAGTTAACAGAACACTTAAGTCCACAAACCAACACACTGGAACTGGATTTTTAAAAATAATAATACTTACAGTATCATAGAATCATAGAATATCAGGGTTGGAAGGGACCTCAAGAGGTCATCTAGTCCAACCCCCTGCTCAAAGTATGGCCTGCTTGAAACATCTCAGGGTGCAAAACTACCCTTCTCTGCTCTGTCAGTGTACACTGAGTCAACATTCATACAAAACAAATAAATTTAATTACACATTCACTGGCAGATTAATCTAAGGTGCACAGAGTACACTAAACTAACCATGTATTCAAACAGACAACAGGGAGAATTATCAAAAGTGTTACTTAAAAACCTAACTCTGATCTCTGTTAGAGGTTGGGATTTTCAAAAGTCCTATTCACTTATCAAACAATTCTGCTGTCTCCATACATTAAAGCTCATTTTGCACAATGGGCATAGTGGAAATTAGCTGTTAATTTCTAGCATTATAGAGATTTATACACAAACTTGTTAACTAGTCTTTAGGAGAAGTCAGTTCTATGACCACAGTTCAAGTCTCGCTTCCCCACTTGGGTCACACTCTGAAGTTTGTGCAGTAAGGGCTAGATTAGGCCATCTTTACGCTGAGTAATGTCTTGCTCTTTAACTAGTCCTATTGAATAAGGGCCACCCCTTACTCATTCTGAATAGCACTTCAGTGAAAACAGCCAGACTTTAAGCTCTTTTGAAAGAGGCATGTCTAGTATTGACATACCCTTGAGAAATATTTCCAAACATGGTCTAGCATCATAACACATAAAATAAAACCTCATTGCAACCACAAGGGATGAGATATAACCAGTAACCCACTCAGACAGTGTTTAATTCAAGCCCATTATATATATATCCCAAAACAAAATCTCTGTTTCAACACCTGGTCAAGATTGTTTTTGGAATTGCCCAGTACAAAATATCCTGCTTGTACCGTGGTAGTGAATGTGTGTGTGGGGAGTCAACACTGTAGCCCCACTCCTGGGGGACCCCTGTTGAGGCCCATAGAGCCCTGTCAGTCTACCTGGCTGACAGCTGAAGAGAAACCTTAAGGTAGAAGGGTTGTTAGGCAGCATTACATGGAAGGAGGCCTTGCAGGCGTAACATCTAGCTTTTACGTGCAGCAAGCAGGACTGCCAGTTACCTCCAGCTCCAGGGGCAGCCCTCACTGGTTTGGTATGTCTGCACTGGAGCTGGTAGGTATAACTTCCAGTTTGAGGAGACGATACCAAGATGGGAGCGGTTGAGGTTTGGAGGACAGGATTAGAATTCAAAATGATATTGACAACCTGAAGAAATGGTATGAAATGTAATAAGTGCAAAGTACTACTCTTAGGAAGGAATAATCAGTTGCACAAATACAAAATGGAAAAGGACTGGCTACGAAGGAATACTGCAGAAAAGGATCTGGGGATTTATAATGGATCACTAACTGTGGATCAACAATATAATACTGTTTCAAAACAAGCAAACAATTCTGGGATGTATTAGCTGGAGTCTCATAAGCAAGACAGGAGAAGTAATTCCTTCTTCTCTACTTAGCACTGGAGTATTGTGTCCAGTTCTGGGTACAGGGTACTACACTCCAGGAAAGATTGGAGAAAGTCAGGAGGAGAGCAACAAAAGCAATTAAAGGTCTAGGAAACATGACCTAAGAGGAAAGATTGAAAAAACCAGGAGAAGACTGATGAGGAACATAAGTCTTCAAATACATAAAAAGTTGTTAAATTGTTCTCCTTAACCACTGAGGATCCGTCGAGAAGCAATGGGCTTAACTGAAACAAAGGAGATTTAGGTTAGACATGAGAAACTTCCTAACTGTAAGGTTGTGTAAGAATAGGAACAAAGTATCTGGGGAAGTTGTGGAATCTGTCTAACCTGTTCTTAAAAACCTCCAATGACAAACACCTGTGAGGGATGGTATTTAGTCCTGCCCCAGTACAGTGGACTGGACTAGATGACCTCTCAAGTTTCTTTCCAGTCCTATATTTTTGTGATTCTATACCTGGGTGATAATCAGGTCTCCAGAAAAGAACTGCACCACTACATTTATGTCCTATTGGAGATGATAAAACATTCATCATTTGCCCTTCCTTAGATGCAAGGGAGAGTCAATCTCTTGCTATATTTCATCATTTAATTTCCTTTGGAGCAGAACACTTCTGGATTCATTGCAACACATCCTGAGATATGTAGCTCAAGTTTCTCTCTCAGCTATGCTAGCACGATGCCACTAAAATCTGTGGAGCTGCAGAGCTGATGTGGCCAATCTATACTCAGCAATAAGCTATACTAACACCAGTTAATGGCAGCAGCACTACCTAGCATTTCCTAACTAGTGACCCTTTGCATGTCACACTGGCTAGAGTTGTTTGCTACAGTTACATTAGAGTAGTGCTCTACATAAGCACATATAGGAGACTGGAATGAAGAGCGAACAGTTAAGGGAAAAGTGTAACTGCAGTAACTGTCTTAAAAAAAAAAATCACATGCAAATATTACAACTTGTTTCTAACCACATTTCAGTCATGCCAGTATGTGGAATCTATATATATTTACATTGCTTATAGTATGCTGAATGCAATTCAGGGAGCAAAGAGTCTTAGAGCAAAGGGCTTGGAGTTTATCACTTCCTCGTGGTTTTCTAACCATCTGTGCTAAGTTTCACACTACATGTTAAACTGTGCTTTGTAGCTCTAGTCATTTTGACTCAAAATTCAGCGGAGCTTACTGAAATGTTCCAATTGTACAAGGAACTTTCATCAGTCATAAGGCAAACCATGTACTGGGCTAAAAGTTCTATTGCACTCACCTTGAGGTATCTGTAACGAGGGTGGTATGCACCATTTTGGTATTTTAAATGTGCATTTTAAGTTAAATGAATTTTCTGCCTGTTCCACAACCACTAACACACACAGTGCTTGTTTGAAGTCATGTGTTAGTCATTTTCTAAGAAAAGCCAACTTTTAGGTCTCTGTTTCCTTTGCAGTCTCAAACTGAAGATGGGATTGTGGGATTTCCTGCTGTGAGCAAATTTCTCATTGCAGAGAGAGCAGAGTAAGGATCCGCATGCTCTCTGCTGGCCTGTCTAAGAACACACCCACCTGCTAAGGGCTTCAAGAAGGGTGAAAGGTGATCTGACCTTTCTCTTCATCCCAATGGTATAATCAGGATAGAGAAAGCAGAGACAAGGAGAGGTGCAGAGGAAGAAAGAGTGAGGGATGAAGTCTCTTCTTCCTCTTTTTAGGGAGTCTCAAAATCCTAAAGCCAATCCTATCTCTAAATCAGACCAGCTTTTTCAGCAATGGTTCAGTGAACAACTGTCTGCACCAGTGTCTGTCAGATCCCAAGACAGCATCTGCTGCACCATGTATCATATGGCATGATAGAAAGTCACTGGAATTGTCAAAGTATCATCCTCGCCACTATCATTTAATATGAAGAGGACCCTTATTCTGTGACAGAGGCATATTCTACTTATGTTATCGCTACATTGCAAGTTAATTATAAAAGTACAAAATTATAAAACAGATAATTTAGCAGGTAACAGTGCATAAATCCACTGTATAAAAGTCATCCTAAATCTGTAAAGAAATCTTTTACTAGTCTTAATCATTTTCCAATTTTACCCTCTCTGGATGATGAGGAATAATTTTGCATAGCTTTTCTTAATGCCCATGTAAAAATACTTAACACAGAGCACAGGGTTTTTTTTACGTGTAAGGTATTGCTGCATAAACCTCATATATATTTTACACTTTTCTCAGTGGCAGAAAAGCCTAAGCTATTTTCTGCATATAGCACCCAGCTTTCATCAGCCAGCTCTCTGGATACATGTGAGGTATAACAATGTTCTTGGTCATGTTCATCATCTCCAGTCTTCAAAGGTAGGTGTTAAAAATCTGCTGTCATTCAGCATTTCATCTTGGCTTAGCATATCCTGAAAGTAAACCGTATGAAGACCAGTCAGAAGTATGTTCAGTTAGATGTGTATAGCAATGGCAAAGCAATCCAACTGTAATTAGATCTGATTCATTACAGCAGGAATTTACCATCTTGATGTAGCTTATTTGCTGATATAAATATTTAAGGAATTACAGATCACCTGATTATATGTAACACAGTGGGATGATCAGCATCAATGAGTCTCAGAGATGGGTGACATAGTGAATAAAAATACTTTCACATTACATGACCATAAATCAGCTGCACCAATGCAGCCGTTAATTGTACACATTGTGATTCTATGTATTGGATACAGAATCAAATCCATACTGCTTCAGTCAAGTGAACTCTAAGGGAGCAGGGACGGCAATTGCTTGCAAAATGTTGGAGTTACTTATTTTCAATTGGTTTTTATCAGATATAGACACTAATTTACTGTGGGCAAAGGTCACCCCTTTTCAGAGGTTGAGCAGAATCAGTGGAGACTATGCACCACTTAAGTTCAACTTAGGCCATTCACTATGAATAGAGGACTGACAACTTATTTCAAAATAAAGATTTTTGAAGTATGGAAATATAAGTAGGCTGTAAATAAGGAGTCTATAACGTGAACACTGGAACACTTACTCTAGAGGATTGCTGGTCCTTTAACTTTCACTGCATTCTAGCAGGATAAGTTTGACTTTACAGCAAGTATAAATTGGTACATACCGTGAGGTTGCTTATGCCTTGAGAGAGCACCCCTATTTGCATTACTGTTCCTTCTGAATGTTCCATCTGTAAAATCAGTCAGTAACTATATCAAATCAGACAGCAACTACAATTTTATCCAGAGCATGCATGTATGTAGCGCATGCATCTTTTGGAGGTGATTCTGTCTTGAGAAAAACAAAATCTCAACATAATGAATTACTACTCTTGGAAATGTGCTAACAATTCGTTCTCAAAGTTATACGGAAATAAATATACATATTGTACATAACACCTCAGAAAACAAAAGGAAAAATACTCATATGCCAGCATAATGCAGTGAAAATGAGGTTATGATAGGAAGATCAATTTCTGATGAGAAAAGGCATTCCTTAATCCTTTAGTACAAATATTACACGCTCTAGCAAATTTAAGAATTTATCAGTTTGCTCTCATGAATTTTAGTGCTGTGTGTTACAGTAATATTTTTCAGAAGTCAAAAGCATTCAAGATGCATTCAATAACGCATATGATACATTCCTACTAGACAGGCAATCCAAGTACTCTTCATGCTCTTACTGATTTTAAAAAGAGATATAAATTGTTTGAGCACATCCGGTGGCCTAAAATGTAAAGGGGGTTCCGTAGTAGTTCATTAAGAGTATTAATTTTTCACTGTACAAAGGTGTGAATGTACTGTGTTCACTTCCAGGTCATTTTTTCAGCTGGAATGTCATCAATTTTTTTAATATACAAAATATTTTGTAACAGTTGCACAGTTGTATTTAGTAATTTAAAATGGGGTCAGGAATGGTGGAATATTAACATTAAATCAAATCCATACTGCTTCAGTAAAGTGAACTCTATAGGAGCAGGGGCAGCAGTTGCTTACAAAATATTGGAGTTACTTATTTTCAGTTTTTCAATTGGTTCTTATCAGATATAGACACTAATTTACTGTGGGCGAAAGTCACCCCTGTTCAGAGCAGAATCAGTGGAGACTATGCTCTACTTAGATACTGCTTTTACCTTGTTACTGGACGCTTCCTTTCAGTAAACATGTCAAAGCATCAAACTACAGTACATTCACTACAGGTACTGACAGCGTTCAATTCTATTAGGATTTGGTCCTCTCATTTCCTTAACATAAATAAGATTAACAATACTATTTTACTTTGTAAACACTAACACAGGAGCCACTATATATGAAATATATCACCCTTTTATCGCTAAAACATTTTTGTTAACGGGGTCCTCTAAATAACACAGTGCAAACTTGCACAAGAAAAGACAGTGGTTAGGTAATGAGTTACTTTACAGATGAGCACAAATGATGCGTTAGGTGTAGTAAACCATGCAAATGAAAAATGAATTGTCATCAATTTTGTGATCATTCTCTTATCTGGTTTTTCACTTAGAATTATTTAATCTGGCTTCTCTCTAGAACAGCCTGAGCTAGTGTAAATTGTCATAGTTCTACGGAAGTCACTGGAGCTATGATAATTTACACCAGCAGAGGATATGCCCACGTCTGGCTCTTGTACACTACAGAAGCTCACACAAGCTCCAACAGCTCCCTTTTTCAGGGTTTGCAATACTTTACACATACTTTGGCAGGAAGGAGGCTGGATAAAGGTTTTTATGGAAACCTACTGTTTTTGTGTGTGTAAACTAAATTCCATTACAGAGAGAAAGTAATCACTATATATGTAAAAACAATGGAATTATTCAAAGTATTCTTTTATTGTCTAATTGATAATGTTCATGAGTGTTTATATGCTTAAGCATAATTATTTCATAGAGTATGTAATACATTTACGTGGTGCAAATGATGCACTCTTCAGTTAACGTCTTAAAATATACAATCCAGTTGTACTTTTATGAGAATAAAATATAAATTGATACCTCTGTACAAATTGATCTGAATAAGATTTTATTACATTACAAACCACTTATAAAGATAAAATTTATCTGTGCAGTACTCATGGATTATGTAATTAAAAGTACAAAAAATATTTGGTGTTTCTATTATAATCCCAAATTTAACAGTCCAATAGGTTAACTTTCATAGTGTAAAGGTTTGATGTACCTGAAAAAGGGCTTGAAGATGGATGGGTTTACGCTTACAAAGATAAAAATATTATTCATCTGACATTCTCAGTATAAAAAACTGTTCAAAAGTGTTCACAACCCATATGTACGTTCTCAATGAGTTCATGCGGATGTAGCAGAGATTTTGTTATATGGTAACAAAAGGTTATTGGCAAGCTTTGGAATGCATGTAGAGGATGAGAGATGAGAATGACATCAATCTATTTGTCCCACCTGATCTAGTTTGTCCAATTCCCTATCAGTGAGTTGATTAAGTCCTTTGTATCCACTGTAGCTCTTCTGAGTACCATTAGTTGCACCTGGACTTGTGTCCATAGGACAAATGTAATCTGTAGATTCATCAAATTTCTTTTTTCGTAGGTTTCCAAAATGTGAAAATCCAAGTTTCTTTGGCTAAAATAATGAAATATAAAGTTTTACACAAGAGAACCAATTTGTCTAACATGTACATGCTTTTTATCAAACTGTCTGTACTGAGCCATCTTGATTATCACTTCAAAAGTTTTTTTCTCTTACTTAATTGGCCTCTCAGAGTTGGTAAGACAACTCCCACCTGTTCATGCTCTGTATGTGTGTGTATATATATCTCCTCAATATATGTTTCACTCTATATGCATCCGAAGAAGTGGGTTGTAGCCCACGAAAGCTTATGCTCTAATAAATTTGTTAGTCTCTAAGGTGCCACAAGTACTCCTGTTCTTTTTATGTACAAAATTGTAACTTCAAACTTGATTTTACATGCCAACAATGCACAAATCTTGACTAAAGCTGTATTTTTCTAGTTTGTAGACTTCAATCATCTGTTGTATATTTCTTACTAAAGGATATAATAGCAGAATACTGCTGAGATTAACAACACTTGATTATCTTTGCTAGCTATACTACAGTACATTTACTAGGATAATGATGGATTCTCAGTTAAACTTGTCAAAATAAATCAACGAGTGTGTGTGTTGAGATAGTGGTTTTTTTTTTTTTTTAAATAATGGTTTTCTGTATATTTGCTAATTCACAAAAGGTCTCCCCCATCATTGGTGTGATTAAGTAGGGTTTGACCATAGCTCAGATTAACATGATATTTTCAATTGGCACCTGGGTGACTAGTGAAGTCAATTGTGCTAGTTGTGTAACTTTAAGCAATAGTTCAACTATTTCATTTGGACAATTCATGTGTCTAAAGTTATGCAGGTGCTTAAGTACTTTGCTGAGTCAAGGCCACACGTGTGGGCTTCAGTACTCTGAACAAGGATGGTCTTAAGTGCTTTCTTAAACTGGGGTCATAGGTAGCAAGCATAGCACTTACCTGTCTGAGAGAGACCCCATTGAAATC